TCAGTCTTTGAGGCCACAAAGATGCCCTCCCACGAGGTTGTCATCTTGAGAGGCTGAGAGGCTACTGAGATCAGTTCATCCTCCTCATGAGGACGGAAAATCCAGCACTATTGAACACACAAACTGAAATGCCAATGGTGTTTTGCTCACTAGAAGTAAGAGATGAAGGCCTTCTTTGACTTGCTCACAAGGTGGTTTTTTAAATCTTGTTGACAACTCATAGCTCTTTTTCTTAACTGAAGTTGAAAGGGACACTGTAGTATTATGGTTGGCTAAATGAGTTCACAAGTTGGTGGGTCATGGAACTATTATTTTTGAAGATAAGTAAAAAAAGAAATTTTATTGCTAAAAGGAAAAAAAGTACATCATAACTAGGTGACAAGATGTCACCCCCACCAGATTACAGTAATGTAATACCATAAAAAAGCAAAAAACAACACTTCAGTATCAAAACAGATCTCAGCATTCCTTTTAAGAATTCAGAGAAGTCCAGAAATCAGCTCCAAAGTCTTTTTTACGCAGTCCTTGAAACTCTGGAAGCAAAGGCACCCAACCAAGGTTCAAAATATCAATACGCCCCTGTGTGCCAGCAGGGGCGAATCGGTACTTAAATTAACACGCTTTTATATATATATTTTTTCAAAATTTGGTTTTTGGGCATATTTTTAACCATATTTTTTATTAAAAAAGAGTGGTTCCCGAAACCCCTTTAAATAGGCGTATTGTGAAGCCACCGATACAGTATGGGGCATATCGAATCGAAATTTTGAACCTTGCACCCAACAAATAACTGTCGAACTAATAACCAAGGTTTAAAATTTTGATACGATACGCCTGATACGGGGCATATCGTATTGTATCTTTGAAAAACCGATACAAGATACGCGTGGAAATCAGACGTTGTCTTTTTTCATGCGTATTGGACCCATATCGGGGGCGTATCAGGGCATATTGGGGGCGTATCGGGGCGTATTGGACCCATAGTGTGAATCGTTATTTTTTTTTTAAATTTTCAAATTTTGAAAAAATATGGCACAAATAGGTAAATTTTTTTTCAATCTTTTATGATATCTTGTGATTTCATTTTTTTTTGTTGAATGTTTAAATTTATGTTGATCTACATTTCTTACATTCAAAATCACAATTTTTTTGTGCTATCAGTAGATTTATGGAAATTTCATGAAGATATTTGGGGAAAATATCAATTAACAAAAAATTTGAAATGTAAGTTCTTTCTTTGCCTTTAAGACCAAATATGTTTTAGATCTATGGATTTATCTATCATAT